TAAATGTAATAATATTATTGTATTAAATAGCATTGTATTAAATTCGTGAAAGAAGTGAGTAATTGATCGCATAAAATTTGTAAAATGAATAGTTATTGTAGAATCTTAAATCTAGTAAAAATAACTAAATATTTTGTAAATGCAATTTTAAAAAATTATTATTACAGAAATTATTGGAAAATAATTTCATATTATAATACTAACTTTTATTTCATATGAAATTTTTCTCATAAAAGAAGCAAATTTCATGAATCAAATAAATTATGTAAATTCAATATAACTTCAACTATATTAAACTATATAGTATAAATAGCTGTAAAAGCAATGAATGTCTCGATTATTGCAGAACTTCTATTAAAACCTTGTATAAAATTATATTCATATAGAAGATATCAAATTTCATTTCTTATTTCTGGTAACCACGTGCATTTTTATTTGAAATTTCAATGTTTAATAGCTTCATAAAAACTTATGAAATATTTTGGAAATTTAACATTACATCTGATCCTAATCTCTCTTTTATCTTGAGCCGTGTTTTTGCAGCATCTCTCAAACTGAAAATATGTGTAAGTTCCATTGTTGTGCGACCTAACGCTAAGGCCTTGTCAAATAGATTCATCGCTTCTTCTACATTTCCTCTATTAAAAAAATAAAAAATTATAATTCAAAAAATATATATAAAAAGTGTTATTATTAATTATTATAAATATATTATATGCTTATTATTATCTTTAATGCTTATTATCTTTATTGCTTATTATTATTTAAATTTAGAATATATATATATATATATATGCTTTAAAATATTAATTTACCTTTGAACTTCAATCGTTCCTAAAGTTTCATATCCGTATTCACACTTATCATCCATTTCTAATGCTTTATTAATATATTCAATAGCTTTATCTACATCACCATTCCATTGTAGATGTAATAAACCTCTATGTACATAAACTGTAGCATTACATGGGTCTTTTTCAATTGCTTTAGCAAAATAAATATCAGCTTTTCGATATTCTTGTAATTCCGTTAACATCTATACCATAATATAATATAATATAGTAAATTTATGTTTATTATTGATTTTGAAATATTGATTTCGTACCTGTGCATATAGAGTATAACATTCTGGACAATCTGGGAATTTTTCAAAAGCATTTTCAAAATTTCTCATGGCTTCTTCTACTAATTCTTTACTTCTTTCCATCATTCCATAACGATAATCTGCATAACACTTTTGTACATATGCTACTCCAAAGTTAGGATTCAGTTCAACAGCCTTCTTAAAATCTTCTCTGGCTTCATCTATCTTTTCCATGAGTAAATTTACCTACAATCATATAATACATAATACATTTTTATCAATTATTACATTACAATATAATATTATTAATATATATATAATTTTACTTTTAGTTAAGTACATTTAAGAATTTAAAAAATTTTTTATATTATAAAAAATGTCATTACATGTCCTCTATGATGATAAATATCACCACACTCAGGATCAAGCTCAATAGCAGTATCAAAATCACAGAAACTCTTATCTGGATTTTCTAATTGCATAAATAAGGCAGCTCTTTTTATTAAGGCATGCACTTTTATATCTTTTAAAACAGTAGAATTGTTTATAATAGTTCCAAAATCTTCTAATGCAGCATCATGTTGTCCTAATAGAAGGTAAAATGTAGCACGTAACAATACTACTTTCATTTTGTATGGCAGTATATCTGGTTCAGAACTATTGATTATTTCAGTACAAAGCGGTATTACATCATCATATTCTTGTTCTTTTACACATTTTAAAGCTTTTGCAAAACCCCTAAAAAATTATAAAAAATATAAGCAAGTAAAATTTTAATTATATAAATTAATAACAATTTTAAAAAATATATAAATTAAAAATGATATGAAAAGAGAATTTCAAAATATTTACATAGGTAAATTATTATAATTAATATCTTGAACCATTGAAAAAACAGGATCTTTATGGAAAGTAATGATGTATGTTTTAATAAAATATTTACTAGGCATAACTAATTTTTTATTTGCCAAATATTCCATTGCATGCTGTCTACCTGAAAAAAGTGTAAAATTCATATTTATATTTTATTAAATATATATCTTATATTACATATGTATAATTTACCTAATTGTTTTAGAACTCTATCTGCCATTACAATTGCAGTTTGATTAGAAAAATTCTCCAAAATACAAGCAGTAGTCACATCCTCTAAAGCTGATTCTAATTCATTACAATATTCCATTGCTCTTGCTCGGCGTAATAATGCTTTGGCATATTTTGGATTTAATTCTAAAGCTTTTGTACAGTCTGCTTTTACACTACTATATTTTTTCTATAATATATTTTAATGTCATTTAAACTAATAGTTATATTTATTTATTATAAAATATTTAAGTATAATATAAAAAATCTTCTTTTACCAGTTGTTCATAAGCAGCTGCTCTATTTTGATAAAATGTAGCAAGAGCTTCTGTATTCTCTTTTGGACATATTTCAATAGCATTATTATATTGATTTATTGCTTCATCGTATTTTCCTATTTTGAACTGTTTATTTCCTTCAGTTTTTAATCTCTGAGCTTTTTCCAGTAGAGTCTATAATTATATATTCGATATTATATAAATGAAATGTAAAATGCAAAGAGTGCAAATATTTATTCTACTTTTATTCGATTTATTATTATTTAAATTCATTTGTAAAAATTTAATAATGAAAAATTAATATATTAAAAATTAATTTTTTCTTTTGAAAATGCTTAAAGAAATATATATTATACATTGCTAATGATAAAACATAAATCGTCAAAATTTTTCTAACCTCTGTTTCAGTTGTACTTTTTGGAGGACAATCAATATCGATTGATATTTGTTTATCGGTGGCTGGTGCGCCATTTTTTTTTGAGTTCTTTGATTTACCACGACTAGGCTTTGAAGAAGGCTTAGAGCTGTTTTTATAATACATATAACCAAGACCTAGTGCGACCGGCGCTGCAACAGCTAAAGCAAGTTGCCATTTTGGTAGCGGACCGGTCACGCTCGCGCCACTTGCACCAGTCATTCTTTACGAATTTTTCACTAACTTGAAATGACAAGGATTTCTGTTGATTTTACTTTTCTTTTCTAATCTCACCGATACAAAAATTGACAGTGAGAACTAATATACAATCTAGCAACCATGCGGAAAGATCACTAAGATCACTTGCAGACGAATCCTCGGAGAAACGACTCGCTTAGTACACATTTCTACCACTGTCTGAATTTAGCGCTTAGTCTTATCAATAATGTTATATTTATGACATAAAGGATGATATACAATATTAAATTAAAAAAAATTATAATTTTATTATTGATTGTATTTAAAAATTATTTTCTTGTCATAAATATTTTTAATATAAATATAAATATCATATCAAATCTAAAAAAGTAATATAAATATAGGATTGTTTTTTATAATATTTTATATAAATATTTGATAACAAGTCTGTAATAGATTAGATTAAATCGATGATGTAAGTTTTTAAAGTACAAAAGTCATTGAATTCCATAAATATTATAAAATGTAAATTTCTTAGCATCTTTTATATCTTACAATACAAAATATATAAAACTTATTATATAAATGTGTATAATTTCTTTATTAAATTTTTCCAATTTTTATTAAAAATTTAAAAAAATACTTCATAGTATAAATTATTAATAAAGAAATTTTATAAATCAATATAAAACATCTGCTTTTGAATATAAAGTTCAAATAAATATATATAAAATAACATTATTTAATATTAGCGAGTATTTTTATGCTAGCGTAAGATTTTATTTAAAAGATGGCAACGGTTTGTCAACAAGAGCAAAGTTTTGTCTGTGCTATCTATAGATTGTTGAATTTTAAGAAGAACATAAAACATGAGAAATGTAATAAAAGATATGAAATTGAACGAAGAATGCTAAGTGATCAAAAATATTTATTGCATTCTAGAAAATTGTAATTCATATCGAATTTACGATTTCACACATTACAATATAAGTGTGACGTTTATCAAAATGGCACTAGAAGAAGATGAAAACACCTGGTAAATTTTATAACATTTTTTTAGCTAGAAGAAATTTTTATTTTAATAAACATGAGTTTTAATCATTTGTTTCATCAAAAAATATTTGGATATGTTTTTTTATAATTTAATTCGATTAACTTTTTCCGATATTATTTTTTACACTATTTTGTCTTACGTTTTTTAAATACATAAGAATTATACTAAAGTACTAAAAATAAGTAAATCTATATTATAATTTTCCAAATTTTCTATTATTAGTTTACATGATAAATTTTGTTTTAATTTTTTAGGTTAAAAAAAGATATTTAAATATTTCTATTTTTTTTTTTAATATATTTATCAATTATATCTTAAAATTGTACAAATTATTACTATATCTTTTGCATTAATAAAAGAATAAAATAAAAAAAATTGAATATTATGAATAAATTGAAATAATTTTTTGTGAAAATATTAATTTTAATTATTTATTATATAAATCTTTAAAAAAATAATTTTATATTAGGAAATTATTTTCTAATATATTATTTTTTTATCTTCTTATTAATATTATTCTTATTTTTATATATTTTTCTTATTAATAAAAAATAATTGTTTAGGATATTGGAACTAGAAGCAGCTTTACTTGATACTGAAGCACCATCTGCATCTGATATATACGCAATTTGTAAAGGACGGTCTGTTCCTATAAATTTAAGACCTGATATATGGCAAGCTTGTTTAGATGTTATTGATCGGGGTAATCAATTAAATCAGTTTAATGAAGTATTTGATTTACCAGAACAAAATATTATACGTGATGATTGTCAGCAATTAGTTGGTAAGTTGTTTAAATAATATGTTATAATTAATAATAATGTTGTTATGTTATACATATGCATAAATATATTAATTTTACTATTATAAATATAAATATTCAATTTACTTTAAATTAAAATTTATTTTATATTATATATTATAATTAAGCAAATATGTTGGAAAAATAATAGAAGATAATATAAGAATAAATTAATTAATAAATCAATTAATATATTTCAAGCTATAGTTTCAAAAATATGCATTTTTATTGCAGCAAAATTAGGAAATGATGATGAAGACAAAGTTTCTGTTGTTTCTGATTTAGAATCTATTTTAACATTTTATTGTAAGAGTAAAGGGAAACAATATAAAAGAGGAAATGGTTGGATAGAATTATTGGGTCCTTTAGTAGCTCTAAAACTTCCACGAAGTGCAACATATAATTTATTTGAAGCAATAATAGACTTTTATATTCCTAGGTATAGTATTCTGTAATTAATAAATTTTATATTTTAAAAAATATTGTGAACTTTCATCCTTTTTGATCTGATAAATGAATAATTGGATGATTTGAAAATATTAACTTTAATTATTAAATTATCAAATTATTTATTGAAAAATAATATAATTGTTTAATGTAAATATAGGAGAAATTAAATAATGTGATAAAAAATAATTAAAAATGAAAATTAATTATTATGGAATATATCAATAATTTTCTTAATAATCGATTATTTGCATTCTAACAAAATAAAAATAATAAAAAATATCAAAATGGATTATTAAAATGAGATTATAGTTAGCAATTTATTATATTTAAACTTATATTAGTACAGCTATCTTTCTTTTTATAAAGATATTTTATATTTTTTTAGAGGTGAAACATATAGTTCAGTGTTAAGATTATTATTACTTTATCATGAACCAGAATTATGTTCTTTCTTGGATACAAAAAGGGTATCTCCTGATCAGTATACAAAGGGATGGGTAACAACTTTATTTGCTGGAGTATGTTCATTGCCAGCTGTTTGTACAATGTGGGATTTATATTTTATGCAAGCTGATCCATTTTTCATGTTATTTCTTTCACTTATTATGGTAATTAATGCTAGGTAAGAATTACAAAATTTATTTTTTTTCAATTGTAGTAATATAATGTATAGCAATGCTAAAATAAAAAATAAAATTATTTTGAAATTTACTATGTTTTATAGGGAGCAAATCTTAAGTATGACAGATAATGATAAGCAGAGTATAATAGATGCCATTGCTGCTATGCCCTGTGCATTAGAAGCAGAAGATGTGACAGATTTTTGTTCATTGGCACAGTATTATGCAATGAAAACACCATCATCATTTAAACAAGATTTATATCCTATTATGTTTGGTGATAGTTTCGATGAAAAATGTATATCACATGCACTTTGTTTACCTGTATCAGCTCAAGAATTAGTTGAGAATTCAATCGAGAATCCGTCCACACCTAATATTTCTGTTGAATCTGTTAGATTTTTTTTAGTAGATTGTAGACCTGCTGAACAATATAATGCAGGGCATCTGCCAACTGCATTTCATTTAGATTGTAATTTGGTATGTTTATTTTTATATTTTTTAATTATTGATAATTATGAATCTTATGATTTATAAATTTTTATTTTAGATGCTGCAAGAACCTGCTGCTTTTGCTACAGCTGTACAAGGATTATTGCAGGCACAACGACAAGCATTAGCTGTTGGATCACAAGCTGGTGGTGAACATCTTTGCTTTTTGGGAAGCGGTAGACAAGAAGAAGATCGTTATACACACATGGTAGTTGCATCTTTTTTACAAAAACATACTCAGTATGTTAGTATGGTTACATCAGGATATCAAGGTAATTATTTTATATCTTATTCTAATTTTAAAATTTGTTGTAAAATAATTAATTTATGGAAGATTATTTCATTATAGCTATACATGAATATTTTGGTGATGAAGTAGTTTCTAGTCTTGTCGATCATAATTCACAATATTGTTTAGTGTGTAGTGCTAATATTTCGGAGACAAATTCAAATGAAACAAGTCCTGCCAAAGTTAAAAATAATAATTCCGATTTTTTTGGAAAAATCAAAAAAGTAAAAGGAAAATTATTTGATTACATTGTTAATCCATCTGCAAGCGTTCATAATAATGTGGAAAATAGAAATGGCAAAGAATTAGAATATATCAAACGTCAAAAAAAGACGGCTCCAGTATTTAGTATAGATGATGATCAAGAATTAGGTATGGTATTTAGATTTAAGTATTAATATCTTAAGCATTACATTTTTTTTGTTTTTTTTTTATAATAGTTTTTTATTATGATAAATATTTATATAAGATTCTGAATTTAATTTTTTGCACTATGTAAACATTTTTTATTATATGTAATAATTTATATATTATAGATATGACAATGACGAACAATGAAAGTGAAGAACCTATTGAAGTTGTTTCTATTCAACAGTGGATGAAAGATCCAAAATTATTACATTCCTTTAAATGTCAAGAAGTGAAAGTTAATGGAGATCTCTGTGATAGGTAAATATTTTAATCATATTTTAATAGTATTTTATTACTTAGCATCATTTATTATTTATTAATATTATATTTTAAATTATATATATTAATGTATCATTTTTTTCAGTATACTTTTGGTTACTGATACTTATCTTATAGTACTTCGAGAAATACAAGAAAGAAAAGGTGCAGCTCATGTAATTGTGAAACGTCCATTAACGAGTATTGTTAAAATAACATCTAGAAAGAGACATTCAGATTTGATTACATTTAAATATGGTACAACGCAATATAATGATACAGTTATTTCAGATATGGATAAATTTCTTATTCCTAACGCGAGTGAGGCTACTAAATTAATTACACAACAGATTTTAAAACAATTGAAAACATCAAATTGATGTTAAGTAAAAAATTACGTGTAATTAAATTTATTTGTTTTAAATCAGTTTTATGGACTAAAAAGAGTTGACATTTTTTTATTTGTTGATTGATTACAATTTTCTTAACTAAATGGTACTACAAATATTGTATAATTAAATAATATATAATTATAGTATATTTTTTATTAGTATGATTTAAAAAAAAAAGATTTTAAGAATAACCTGAGTGTTTCATATATGAAATTAACACGATGTATCATCGATAAGATGGCCAATATGGTTCGTACTTGGATTCTAAGATTTTGGTGATTTTACTAAGTCATTACTTTTAATAATTATATTTGCGTTTATAATCTTTCTTTACCTATTTTCAGAAATATTTCACTTACATGAAACAGCATTTTTGGCATTTCTTTTTGTAATAATATCATATTAATATTAATAATATTTAATTTAGTTTACTATTTAATATATACTTTATTATGGCTTTATTATATTATGGCTAAACAGTGGCCTTATGAAACTGAATAGGAGAGGTAATGGACTCTGCAAATCATTGATATGATTATCTACAATGGAATATAACTGAAGATTGAGTGCCATGAACCAAACTATTGTTTTTTTTTTTTATATAATATGATTCGTGACATTGATATTTATGAATATTAAATAATTAATTTCTTTTTTTTTTGACAGAAAAAAAAACTATGAATTATAAGCTAATCTGTCATTTTATGCATATATTTCTATATAACATCTGTATGTTATAGTTGGTCCTAACATAATACGATTCGAGAAATGGTTATAATATTTACATTTTGTAGTAATAGTCAGTAAATGTCTTTACAAAATATTTACAGAAGGTACAAAATATATTGAAAAGTAAACAGTTATATCACTTTTACAGGCATACTTATTACACTGCCTGATTTCGAAGAATTTTTAAAATTTACGATTTTTGATCTTTCGAAAATATGTATCTATAATTCATACAAAAATTTTTCATAGTGAGTATGTCTTTTTCTGAAATTTATATTTAAAAGATTAAGTAATATGACTTTTTCAATTTTTTTCAATTTTCTATTAAAACTATGCTGATAGTCATGTTTAAAAATTTCATAATGAGTTTTTATATACATAATTCTGCTATCTTTTCGCAATCCAGATTATTTATTATTTACAATACTTATTATTTATAATTATTTATAAATTATAATATTTTAATTTGATTTTTATTTTATCATTCTAAACTAAAAAAATTATTTATAATATCCTTTTTATGTTTAAAAATTATAAAAAAATATAATTTAACATACACTTAATAAAATTATGTCTGAACATTTAATCTTGTATAATATCAGCATTGTTAATATTTGTAATAATAGTGATCTGTAATATATTTCATGGTACATATGTATAATAAATTCTATGTATGATAGAAACTTTTTCTATTTATATGCTTCCATAGCGAATAAAAAGCTAAAAATGAATAATAAAATAATAAAATAGTTATAAAAAAAAATCACAGAATTTTAATAAATTATAGCATGTTGTAAAGCTCTTCTTAAATACAAATTTTTTGTTCCATATGTAAATAAATTTTATGTAAAATCAAGAATAAATTTAAACTTTATGTATTTTCAAAAGATTATAAAAATAAAATATGTAATTATATTTATTCTTATATATTATAAAAAATAATAACCTTATTATATTTTAAATGTTTTAATTTTATTTTATATTATTATTATTTATATCATTATTTTAAATTTTACAAAAAATGAATTAATTTTTTTTAAATTTAAAGGAAAATAAATTTTTAATTTTTAATTTATTGACACATTTTATTAATTTAATGAAAGATATGAAATCAATTAAAAAAATTATATTTTAGTCTTACATTAATATAATTAATAAATAAAATAAGAAATTAAAAATAATGAAATATTAAAATTTAATGGAAAATTTTAATCAAATAAAAAACGTTATCTTTTGAGTAAACAAATTTTTTATATGATAATATTTAACAGCATAGATCGTATTATCGTTCATTCGTATTATCAGTTCATAATACGTCTTGTTAGAGAAGCAATTACATCAATATACATATATATATTATACGAATGTTTTTAATGTAATAATATCACATAAAACAGTTTGTAATGGGAACCATCAATTGGGGGGAATTATTCCCGGGAAGATGGAGTCCTATCATTTTTATTCATATATGGCCCTTTTTGTGAATCAAGGTACACATCAAGTGTGGTTAAGTTCTTCTATCTTTATTTCTTTTCATTTAATTTCTCTGTTAGTATGTATTAAACAAATATTACAAAATGATAAATAAAAATGATAACAATATAAAAAAAAATTAATATGAACTTATATTTAATTATTAATAAAGTATGTATCATTTTATCGATTTTAAATATATATTATTATTTATAATAATTTGATTTAATTATTAAATTTCTATAAAAATTTCTATTAATTTCAAATTTGTAATTTTTTTCAAATTACATAATGTATTTTTAATATACAAATTAATTGTGAAATTATCATTATTATAGGTATTATTGTAACTTGGTCTCAAAGAGATGGTCACTATGAATACAATATTGTTATGGTAGTATTGATGACAGAAGTATTAAAATTATTTACTTGTACAATATTATATTGTAAAGAGTAAGTCAAAGAATTAAATTTTATTCATTTAAGTTTCTAAATATTTAAAAATTTAATCATTTCATTTTTAGCAATAGTTTTACAAGTTTATACCAAGAAGTAACAGGAAATAAGAAAGGTAAAAATATATTTTAGAGATTTAAAATTGAAATAATTAAGTTTAATTATACGAAAATTATGAACTAATAAAACAGGTAATTTATAAATTATACATATGTATATAATAATCTATAATGGTTTAATAATTCAAAATTATCATGTCATGTTATTTAAAATTATTTAAATAATAATAAATAAATAATTATATAAATTATATAATAAATAAATAATTATATTATTTAAACATAATATAAATAATTGATTCAAATAATTTTATAAAATTAGTAAAGATATTTAATAAATTCAATGTATGAAGATTGAATTATTTCGTAAATTATTTATTTTTTTAATAATGAATTCTTAATATATTATTATTTTTATTTTTTATTAAATTTTTTATTTCTTACATAATAAAACTTGATTTGCTAAATTCTAAAATTTCTTAAAGTCAAAATTTAAATATTTTTGTTATAATATTATAGGAAATGTTTTAAATAGAATCATTTTTGCATTAATTAAAACAATTCTATGTTACAATTTCTATAATTTTTTTTTATGTTATTTATATATATGTTGTGTATTTATAAAATTGAAGAAACTATATAAATTAAAATTATTAATTCATAAGAATTCTTTTTTGCTATAGTATAAAGTTTATGATTATGTATATTTGAAGAAACATTATTTCATATGAATAATTTTATTTTATTGTAATATGAAATTTAATGTGATTAATATCTATTTTGATTTATAAAAGATTTTTTTTATTGTAATACGAATTATTATTTTTATAAAATTTTTTTTTATCGATATTTGATATATTTGTAAAAATTATATTTTTAGTAAAATATTACATACAAAAAATTATACTATAGAAATTTTTTTATAAAAAAATAGTATAACAATCTTATTAAAATCATAAATTTAATATCAATAATGATTTTTTTATTTTAGTGCTATTGCTATATATGATACCATCATTTTTATATTGTTTGTACAATAATTTGGCATTTATCAACTTATCCGTATTTGATCCAACAACATATTATGTTCTATTACAATTTCGTGTTGTTATGACTGGAGTTATTTTCCAGGTAAATATTAAACTCTTTTCTTCTATAGATTAATAGATTAAATTATAAACAACATTTCTTAAAAATATTATTTTTTTTAGGTTGTTTTTAATAAAAAATTATCATTAAAACAATGGTTATCATTAGTATTATTAACTATTGGATGTATGGTGAAACATATGGACTTGAAATTTAATGTTAACATATTTAACACCAAATTTAATTTAAATAGTAACATAATTTTAGTTTTTGTACAGGTACACATTATATTATTAAAAAAATATTTTAATTTAGAAACTTTTAAAATTTAAATAATTAAAAAATTTGATATTCAAATTTTTTTATTTTTTTATATCATAAAATAATTAAATTGCGAATAATAATAACTTATATAAATTGAAATTAAATAATCTTTAAATTTTTTTCAGACAATTTGCTCTTGTTTAGCCGGAGTTTACAATGAATATTTACTTAAAGAACAAGGAGCAAATATCAATATTTTTGTACAAAATGTGTTTATGTACATTGATAGTATTCTTTGCAATCTTATAGTTTTCATTTTATTCTTTATATCGGAAAATAATGTTTCTGGATTGTTAAACAATGCTGATTTTAGTATACTTATGCAACCAAAAATCATTATAATAATGTTAAACAATACAGCAATTGGGATTATCACAAGTTTTTTTTTGAAAAACTTGAACTCTATTTTAAAAACTTTTGCCAGTGCGTTAGAACTTATATTTACAGCAGTTCTATGCTGGTTAATATTTAATATTCCTATTCATTTAAATACAATACTTCTATTGCTACAGTGAGTTATGCAGTAATATTGTACTCACAAAATCCTGTACAAAATATTCGGACCAAAGAACGAATGAAGGCTGATAATTTAATTTAGTAGAAGTAAATTAAAAAATTTCACTAACTTTGTACATCAATTTCTGATGCAGATTTATTTATATCTTCGTTATGCAATGCATATTGTATTGTTTTATAATATATATATATATATATATATATATATGTTTAAGTAAACGTAAATAACACATTTAGATAGTTACTAAACAGAGATAATTTCATTATAAATTTTTACATTATTTATTGTATTGTTTTTTAAATATTTATATTACATAGAAAATGAAAACTTATTATTGAAATCATTTTGATTACTGCATAATGATTTTTAGTAAAAAATTTTAGTAAAATGTAGTGATATTATTAATTAAAGAATCGAATTTTAATTATAGAATTAAAAAAAATTGTTAATGTACAGTAAATATTTTTAATAAATTTAATTGTATTAATATTATATATTGTAAAAAAAAATAGTGATTAAATTATACTGGAAGTTTTGTATTGTATTTATATATATATAATTAAATAATTGAAATTATTTCTTCACAAATAATAATATATATTAATGTATATATATATGTATTTTTAAATCATTAATAAGTTGTCTATTATTATTTATTAGTATATATTCTCAATTTATTTTGTGCATTCAAAATTATTGATTTATATTAAAATTTTATGTAAATATATAAAATAGATATAATATATTGGAATAGATATATTTATATATTTATTTATATAGTTGATAATGAAAAACAATTTTATAAAAAAGTTTTATATAAATTATTAATATAAGTATTTTGAACTTAAAAAATATTTTTTATGTTTTTCTTTTATAAAAATTTAAAATATGAAATATATTTGCCTATTTTAACTTACTAAATGATATATCAATATGTGATTATTGATAAATAATTTGAAAACATATATTATTAAATGTATAATATAAAATAATAATGAAATAATAAAAAATAATAATTTATTTAAAATTATTTTCAGTTTAAAGCACTAAAATATAATGATAAAATTTAATAAATAACATTTCTATAAAAAATTAATTTGAAATTAAAGAAGAATTTTTCGATTTATCGAAATTTTATTTGGCGGGAAGATTTGATTTAAAAAATATTATTAAATTTGATATTAATATCAAAAAATGATTTAAATTATTTTTAGTTTTATTTTTTCTTTGAGATCAATTATTTTTCATTTATGATTACAATACATATATGTAAGTAACTATATAAGACTATTTTTCGAGAAGTGGGGAGAGAATGGTCGATATTACCCGCAACTACCTTAGTTTTGGAATAGAAGAGTGGCAGTCACATGTCGACTACCGTTACGTGGACTCCGTATTACATGATTTCGATGGTTGCGCTGCTTGTCGTAAAGTGTACATTTAAAAGAAAACAAAGATTTCCTATGTGATATAGAAAATTATATTACAAATTGTAAGATATGTTACTGCAATTTAAAAAATTCTTATCTCTTATGTGAAAAGATAAATTAAAGGTAAATTTTATATATTTTCATAAATAAAATATTATTTTAACAGTTAAAATATAATTTTAGCAATGTTGCTATTTGTTAATTTAATAATTAAAAATATTTTTATTTGTATTTATGATATAATTTTTTTTAAGAATTTTATAATTACAAAAATATGGATTAATAATTTAAAATAAAATAATTCAGTTTAATATTATCTATGAATTTATGATAAAATAGAACTTAAAATAGTATTTTAAAGAGAATTATTTTTTTTTAAATTAAATAATTATACAACAAATTTTCATATATTATTTTTTATGTAAATCAATTTAAGTATTTTTATTCGTTTGTAAATATAATATCTTTATAATATGTTTTATAATTTGAAAATTATATCATAACATTTATGAAATTAACAGAAAATAACATTTAATTCTATTTTTTTATATTAAATAATTAAAAAATTAATAAGAAGAATAATTTCATATAAAATTAATAATTCTTTGTCTTATTTTCAATACAACATAATTACATTGCATTCAATTCATTATTAAAATCTACGATTAGTGTATTAACATCTGAAAGGTCAACGACATTAAACTAAGTCTTTTTAAGTATATTCAAAGTGAGATGATGTCTTATGAGCAGTCTTGATAAAATTTTCACGAGTGAAAATCAAAGATGATGATTCGATAACATCGATATTATAATTGTTAATCTAATATATAAAGATGATTTAAAAAAAAAAAAATAAATAAATAAACGTCTGAAAAAAATTTCACGGTTGAGGCAAAATTAAATGCGCTAGAAAAATATGTATCCTTTATTACGGCAAATGGACAACCCTTTCTTTCTTCCGAGACACACGCATGTTTTCTTTGGATTATGCAATCGCCTTTCGTGTACTACTTTTATGCAACGTTCGTGTTTCAAGATCCAATGATAAACTTTACGACTTTACCTCTACTTTTTTTTTTTTAAATATTTACTAGGGGAGACTTGTTTTATAATTGTAACTTGTTTTATAATACTTGGAAATGAAAATTACTTGGTTGATTTTGTCAATCGATTGTTAATCGTATTTTTGTAAAAGAACTGTGGGAAAATGTTTAACAATAAGATATAAATGTATCAAAAATATAGATAATGATATAATCGTGTTTCGATATATATTAAGTAAATCTAAATTAATAATGAAACAGATTTTACTAAAATCGAAAATGAGATTTCGTTAATTAAAATTTTTATTATAATGTCAATCATTTTATTTACAGGTATGTATTTCCGGAAGTAACAAAAAATATCTATTGATGATTAATTATAAAATTATAAATATCAAATATAGAATTTTTGATTCTATATTCTATATTCTATATTCTAGATTGTAAATTAATTCATGTTAAACAAATAGTTTTGTAGCATAGCTAAAAAAATTATAGACAAAAAATTAGATTAATAAAATTTAAACATTATTATTTTTATTAAAAATATGAGAAATTTATAGCTTTTAATAGTTTTTAAATTCGTCATGAATCATTAAAAATTTAATCGAAATAATAAAAAATTATAGAACAAAATAAAAGTTTATTATTTGTTTATTATTATTTCTTTTTTCAAAAAAATTGAATTTAAAATTATTGACATTTTTCAATAAAAAGTCAATTGAATGTGTATTTAATTGCGAGAAATTTTCAAATTTAATTTTTTGGAAAATAAAATTTTGAATGGATAAATTTTACTTCAAATTTTTTCTTGATTATAAACATTTGAAATAAAAGTCACGAAGCGAAATAGTAGGACCTAAAAATGATTCTGCTATATTCAAATTTATCAAGTTTCGTAATCAAGTTATTTCGTTATTTAATTACCGTTATTGCCGACTGATAAATCAACTAAATGACAGCATGAACGATCTAAAGGAATTAGAGAAACGATCCTTGTGGAAAACAATGAAGGACCCATGGGTTTCGCCAAACAAGACGTAACAGTAAACGTATGTCCGAGTGTCTGGAATTCGCCTCATCTATGACAGGATCGACGAATTCGGGGCCTCTGCAGCCCCAAAAGGATTCCTCGCCACTTCTGGCACGATTCTCTCCCTTCGATCTCTATTCGACACCAGAGAGCCCGACGCTTCGAGGTCACCGTCAACGACTCTCTCGAAAGATGACATTGACCTCGTCGAACGGCCAACCGATACAACTTACTCCTCTTTGGGAACACGTGGTTCGTATAATTATCCCGCGTCATAATGTGTCTTATGAATCAAATAATATTGTTTGAAATCTGATTTTTTAAATAACAATTAAAAATAACTAAAAAATATAAATTATATCAAATAATTAATTTTTATATTAATCTCAAGTAGAGTTTTTTTTTATAATCTAATTAATTGATTTAATATTTAAATAAATTTAACTGTAATAATATTTAATAATTCAAAATCACTTAATCTTCATTAGTTTTGAAATTTCTATTTAACAATGCATTATAATAAATAAAGAAAACAAAGGATATTCAAGGATTGATTTTTTATCCATACTTCTTTTTGTTTATTGCACTATTCAGGTACGCACTAGAAAATTTCCAAATGAGGTGGATACCCGTTCAACCTTCTTGGAAATATCTGATAGATTACGTGATCCAGAATGGGAAGTGCGTCAGCACGCTCTTCGTGTGCTTATAGATGTGCTACCGACTTTGAATGCTGACATCGTGGACAAGGTCATGCAACCAGTGGTACCAGAACTGGTCAATAATTTGGGTCACCCTGCACCAGCCGTTCGCAAAGGTGCCTTGGACGCCTTCCGAGTTTTCCTTATTCATAGTAATGACAGAGAAAATACTATTAAAAACGTAAGAATCTTATTCGATGATATATTCTTTTTAATTTTATTTCGTAACATTAAAATAATTGAATAAAAATCATTCATAGATATGCGTATGGAAGAGCGTTAATTTATTTACAAGCTATAGGATATTACATATAAATCTAATAACATTTCACAAATTATCCTTTTCCATTTTCATGTTATATTCATAATATGTTTCAAAATTTTCGGCAAACATATCAGATAGATAGACAGGTCCATGCACAAGCAATTTCTGACCTTGCAATCTCCCCACTATTTTGTATATTATCATGGATCGATATCTAAACGCAATTGTATTGATCGTTCTCTTGCAGATTCTTGAGGATGGTCTAAATCGTTCGGAAGTACAGAATTCCTTTCAGACGAACGTTACCACCGGTGTGATCTTAAGCGTACCCTCCCTCCTGTTTCCATCGTCGAGTAGTCCATCGCCTGATTCCCGATTTGTCAAGGAGGTAACAATAGCCTTGGCCTCCCGGCTGGCCCAGGTACCGCATCAAGAGGCGGTATTAAAATCGTTAACGAAGATCCGGGATGCAATAGGCGTGGAAGAATTCGAGAGCTATCTGGAAGATTATGACAACAAATTGAAGAAGAATATCGAGATTTTATCCAAAATTTATAATATAAAATCTAATAGGAAGAACCTAAAAAAGGGTACGGATGGAAAGAACGTGGAAAAAGTAGAGAAAAATTTGGAAGGTAAATGGGAAAACGACAGCGACACTTCTGGTATAGCTGAAGAAGAGGACGAGATTACTAATATGCCAGCGGCCAGAGTGGTATTAGAAACAGAAATTAAGTTCAACGAGGAGACAGCTATCACTATGACGATTCTTGAGGAGAAGGATAATAGTGGAGACGAGCAGAATGCAGAAGAAAGTGGAAGAGATATGAAAAATGTGATTGAAGGGAAGGAAGATCTTGATAAAAGGAAGACACCTAGAAGAGTTCATTTTGGAGGTGAAATAGTTAAATTAAGGACTCCTGATAGTGATGATACAGAGTCTGGAGAAACTACTCTTAAAACTAGAATTCCGCTTCCGATTTCACCTGTTACTAAAATGCCCATTAACCGTTCTAGACCGTCTTCTCAGCCTTGTAGTCCTCACAGAGAGCCTAGAAAATATAGAAGAATATCCAGGTCTGTTTCTAATAGCCCCAAGAGAGAGATATATACACATAATGCGGAACTGAGTCCTAAAAAGAGTATTCTTACTAGGACTAGTAGTCCATTTCTATTTAATAATAACGCCGTTGATGAAACGAGAAAAAAGAAAAGTATAAGCAGACAAGAAGATAAAGATAATAAATATAACATCGAGTCTAGTGCAAACGGTAAGAACACGAAGATTGTTGAAATTGGTGGAAAAGTGGACAAAATTAAAAAGCCAGAAGTTGTGTTAGTACAAAATAGTCAAAATATTAGTACAATAAATCCAAATATAAAAATTAATCATTCTGAAGATGTTTCTTTAATAATAGAGACTTCTAAGAATGATTCAAAAGTAGAATCTGACGATTTTGGAATGCAGAATAAAATAATTGATATTAAAGTTAACAAAGATTGTTTGGAAAATAAAACATGTGAAAATATTCAAAAGAACAATATGGAAGAAACAAATGAATCTTTAGATATCAATCAAAAAGTTGATTCTTTTTTCGGTTCTGTGGTGAAAAATGAAACAGAATTAAAATATATAAAATTAAATCAAGATGGAGTTATACGGAAAGATGTAAAATTAAAAAGTGATAAAATGAATAGCTCGAGAAACGATAATAGTGATTATGTGTCGAAGAGTGTTGTTTGTGAACAAATAAGTAAATATGACGAAGGAAGTGAAAGTATTATCAGAAAAAATGAAAATACTACTTATAGGTCTGACAAAATGGAATTTATATCAGATGAACCAAATTGGGAAGATCTAGGACTGGTTGATCATGAAGTATTGGAGGATCTACATAACAAAGTAAGTTTTACAATTAAATATTTTATTTATTACATTATTTTTTTTTCAATTACATATTTTTTTACATTTTTTTTAATAATTCGATATTTTTATTATTTCAATGATTTTTATATGTATTATTGACTATCATTTAATTTTTTTTTAATATTTCTAATAATTTTTTAATATTATATAATATTTTTCAAATTATTATTATTATTCTCTTAATTTCTATTTTAAAATCTTTTCGAATTTAACTTTTAATTTTTCAAATGTCAAATACTTGTTAAATTTTTTATTCCATTTAAAAAATTTTTGCTTCGTACTAATATCTATCAAATATTCATCATTCTCGAATACTTAATAATTTTAATTACTTCCTCCACGAATTCTCTTCATACCATTCAATTTTAATCAAACTAATTATTTCCATCACGAATTAGATTTCTAGAAACACATATATACATATACAGTAAATAACTACTGAATTTATTCAAAAAATTTTTTATTTTTTATTTTTTATTTTTCTGAGAAATAATATATAATATATAATAACTAATATATAATTTAATTTTTCAAATATAATATGTGTATCAATTATCTTTTATTATTTAAATTAACGATTAAATAAAAAATTAATAAAAAATTAAAATAAACAATGCTTAATAAAAAAAGATATTTAAACATAAACATTCGACGATAATTATTCATAATTTCTACATTAAACAAATCCATCGAATATACGTACATATACATTACATGCGATAGTTGCTGGAAATAAGAAAAAAGATGAATAAGGTAAGAACAACAAAACGAAGAGTCGATACACGCATAGGTGAGTCTAATTGATGCTGTTTAAATCACGTTACACCACGCGACGAACTTTTGCTATAGAAATCGATTGACCTAGTTCGGTGTAATATATCAGAACGATCTGTCCTAAAGTTGATGGTTCCCCCTTTAGTCGAATTAATGAGTGGAATGAGACGAAAAGCTAATAGGGTATGTTCGATATACTGAGAAAATCACGCAATGTAAAATTCGCTATTGATAAGGAATATGTCACAATTTTATAAAAAAATTGTCTTTTCTCTATAATTATGTGGTATGATGATGAAAATCATTTTTTTATGAAATAAATTACAAACTTTAATCAAATGTTATATAATTAAATGAATTAAAATTAAAAAATATTGTGTGTAGAATCTTTATCGAAAAATTTATTACAAAATATTAGGAAATTGTTACATATTGATAATACTCATATGGTGAATAATCGAAAAGTTCAAAATCCAACTTGAACTTCTCATATAACTTTTCTACCATATCTCTATTTAACTGGCTGAAATATATTTTCGATGCATTCGAGTGACTACGATTATGTTGCCATCTTGGTTTAATTTTTCCTTGAAGATTTAATTTATGAATCGCGTAAATTTGATCCTGATATAATGTTTCCACCTATGAAACATGACAAATATGATAACATATAAAAAAAATTATTGGGGAACAAAAAGTAATTGAAAAAAAAGTATTATCATATTTTATGTATCGTAATCCCTCAAAATTTAATTGTAAAATTAATCTATATGAATTATTACCTTTGCAATTATGTCGTAATCTACAATGCAAAGTGCACAGAACCAATAATACGGCATCCAATGATCATCTCCATAATTGGGCAAATCAGTATCAATTAAATATTGCACAAATTCACGAAAAGTTGGTTCAATTCCCACCGGTGGAGGTACGCCTTTCTGTCTGATCTCCTGATTCCTTTTGGGCCGTGTGAAGTTTGCCCCTTAAGAAGCAAGTGACATATCTCGTTATTAACCTAGTATTTGAGCAATGAATACATTGCGGTCGATAGGTTTTCGTGACTCACCACGGTACTTTTCAACAATCTTGCTACCATATTTCTGATAAAAGTGAAGTGTCCCGTGTTCCCTTCCAGCCACAGAGTTTTCCAGTTTATCGCGATACGCGCTCAACAATCTTTCAAATGGGTGCCTTACCACTAGCAGTTTTTTCGTAGTCCTTAACACCTATTTGAATTTCTTAGGTTTAGTCTTTTTGCAAGAATAGATATTAACGGAATTAATCAAAGATTTTGAAATATAGATATATAATTCTAATGAAAGTTTCTATGAGAAGTTGAGTTATGCTATTCCATTTATAATTTAATTTATGATTTCAATTTATTTATTCCAGAAATTGTTAAGCTCGTGAGTATTATATTTATTTATTATGATGTTTTATTTACACAATTTATAAATAATTAATTCACAGTATATAAATAAAATATATTTATTATTTATTATATAAATAAAAAAATAAGTAATTTTGCATTTTTTTGTTCATTTATTTTTTTGTATTCGAAATATATCTATATACAATATAATTCGCGCTATAAGCTAAAATAGGTTATAGATTACGTTCAAAATAATAATATTTATAATTTATTCTTTTTAATAGATTATGTTTCATTATATATTGTTGATCATATTATCAACGATATATCACATTTGGTTTAGAATGTAATTTATATACGAATGTGCTGTTTATTAATGAACAATACATTACCTCTTCTGCTTCTGGAAATTCGAGTTCCGGTATTATTCCTCTAGCAATGGTCGATATTTGCTTCTTTCCGTTGTTCAACTCCTCCTCGGTAACATTCATTAAGAGACATAAATTGTATATCCACGTTGTACTACCGGCTTTGTAAATTGGACAGTATGATAGATCGCGTGATCTACGTGGCAAATAATGTACATAGATACACTGCTAATTGAATCAGTTATTATTAGAATAATCACAATGGATAATTTGATTTAAACAACACTCGTTACACATATATTATATATAATGAATTAAAAAGTTATTTTTAGATTTTATGAAAATATATAATTATTGATATTGATATTAAAATAATTAAGAAATTATAAAATATATATCAACAAATATAATAATAATAAATTATTACTATAGTTTCTTATTATACTTTATTAATTGATTTAAATGATTTATTTAACTAACCTGATAATATAAAAAACACTATATTGTGGTGCTGGTGGATGTTTAAATATGGATGGTTTATCAAATTCCTTGTATATTCCTAAATTATATTTTTTACATATGTTTTTTACAATCAATAATCGTTTTAAATTTTCATTTTCTGTTTCAATCTAAAATAATAAATCTTACTATTAAAATGCGTTTTTTTATTTAATTCTTTTTATCAAGTTTTCTATTGATGTAAAAAAGTTTCTTATATAATTTATTTATTTATAAATTTATATTTATTTACGTACTAATAATCTGTTTAAATCTTCTAATTTTGTTTCATCTTTATCTTTATCGAGAAGAGATTTTATGATAAAAAAAATTAATCCACAACCAATAATATATTTCAGAATTCTTTTCAAAATTTTAATACGATTTCTGAACATGATTTTTATTTTATATAATTTATTTTATATAAAAAAATTATTATACATTATTATATTATATAAAAATTATTAAATACTAAATTTTCAATTAATTTTATTAATTTATTGAAATATAACGATTACTAAAATATAAAAATTTTAATATAAATATTAAAAATAATTATATATTGATACTTAATTAAGAACAATGAATATGAAGAAAAATTATTAAAAAAGTTAATTATTAAGAAAATTTTTTGATTATTATAGAAACAAGTATTTATCATAAATAATAATATATAAAAAAAATTAAAAATTATTACACAATATAGTTCAGAAAAATTTTTATTTACTTTCACATATTAAAACTTTTCAAAATAGTAAAAAAAGATATTTAGAAAAAATTATTTAAAAAAACTTTCTTAAAAATTATTTTCAAAATGCTTATAATTTTACTTTAAAAAGAATATTTAAGAGAAGAATGAAGTAAATATTATCTCTTTTCACTGGTAAGGCATTGACTGACCGGTTTCGTGTTAGCATTCTGACAGTGATGGATCTAGAATATTCTAAACCTGTAGCAAAAATTTTCATGGTAAAATTTTAAATTTTATATTCAAATTTGCTAAGTAAATATTTCTACTATGTGTTTTATTTAAACGTTAGAGAAAATATTCTTTTAATAATAATTCTAATAATTCTAACAAAGTTCTTAAGTATTAAATTTTTTAAATAAAAAAATTTCTTACAAGAAGATATAAATTGAATAAATATTCGTAACAAGAGAAATTTTTCCGGTGATGAAGGTTTCTTTGCATTATCAACTAGATTAAACTTATCTAATGTTATCAAGTAAATTCATTCCTAAAGTCAAGTTGAATGCATTTCGACACGAAGACTAGGAGACTCCGTTACATATTAATTTGGTTAGTTGGTATTTCGATGGTCAGATAGATAGTGGATAAAAATGTATTTTTATGCTGAAATATAATCGTGTAAATTAAAAAAAAGATTTGTATCATTATTATATTATACAATAGAAATAAATATAATTTACAAAAATATTTTACCATAAAATTTCAAAATTAGAAAAAAAATTTTTATTGTGAATTATTATTTTAAAATTTTTATTATTTAGAAAATCTTTTATTGAAAAAAATTATTAAATAAAAAATTTTATATAAAAATCAAGAAATTTAAATTTTGTAATTATCATTTTTCTTTATATATTAGTGAATATTGAGTACAATTTTTTTGATATTAGTGATATTTATATGCACAAAATTGACTATATGTATAAGATTTCTAAAAAAAAAACAGTGAAACATTATTGTGATTATTAATATCCTGAAGAAATAATGCACTTGAAATATTATAAAAGTATTCTTCTTTTCATTGAACGGAAGTTCAAGGTCCTTCTAAACCTTTCCATGAATATCATTGTACGTACTGTGTAATAAGAACTAAAAAAGCAAACTAAATCGTTTAATATTGATCCTCTATGTCATATAATTCTCAGCACAAAAGAAGTACTGTTCTTTTTCACACACGAATTAATGATTCATCTAACTTTTAAGTTAATTTATTTTTCTAGAAAAAATTATTTTTTTTCAAAATTTACATTTATTATTTCAATTTACATATGGAATTTTAAAAGTCATTATTTGATTCTTTTAAACTTCTTCTTAAGAACTTCTTAGAAAGTGTAATTAGTTTAAATAAATAATTAATTTAAAATTTTTATATTTAAAAATTTTATTATTTTTAATTACACTTTAGATTACAAAATTTTTATCATATCATTTTTCTTTGTATTTTATGACTTTAACTGTATGTTTTTTATAATCAATTTTATTTAACAGATATACATATGTATATATAAGATATATATATATAATTATATATAATTAAACAAATTGCTATTTCAAAACAATCAATTTTAATGATTTATGATCATTTTATAGTTATTCTATATATTCAATGAGTCAAATATAATATAAATAATGTTCACATAGATTTATCGTTTTTATTTAAAATGTATGTATATATTATTTTAATTGCCATTATTATCTTTTTCTTCATGGAATTTCTTCATTACCATAATTTCCATAAAGAATCACAGCATTACTCGACTAGGATTAATCATATTTCTAACAGGTATTTTCTTTTGAACAATGTTCCCATCTTCGTAGCAATAAAGCATTAGATGAATTATGCATGCTGCTTCGTTTTCCAGCCGTCGGACACCATTGAAATAGTTCTAGATGTTGGAGGGCGCCAGTATGAATATTCCATGGATGAAAAACAAGAAATTTGTGCGTAATATTATACAGCGCGACTTGTTGATAATAAGAAAATAATTAGGAATGTGTTGCTTGCAAAATATCGGTCTTCTACCTATTTTATTGATTGTGTATTGTTCTTATATTGATCACATTGATATTTAGCAATTAAATAATAAACATAATCCGATAGAAACATATGCAATTAATGTTACAAGGAAAAGAATCCTCATTGTAATTAAAAAGATGATCTAGAATGAACTTTAGGTCTCTAAAATAATCTAGAAATAAACTGGAATGGAATGATAAAAATCAAATATATACAGCATATAAGAATAAGAAGTGGATAAGAATGTATACTTTACATTTTTAAAAGCTTACAAAACTCAGATATAACAAAGTTTTATTTTAAAAAAAATTTATTTAGCGATTAATAAATTAAAATTTGTCAAATTAAGATTAATTAATACAATTGTTTTATTTTTAAATATCTGATAAACTATTATTGATTAAGATTATGCATATATATATATATATATATATATATATATATATATATATATATA